TTCAGGGTGGGGGCAGAGGCCTGGGCTCGGGCGGTCTGGGGCCCCAAAGTCTTCCCTGTGCGGGCGGGGCCGTGGCCGCTCCAACGCTCAGTTCCTGAGCAGCCAGGGGGATTTGGTCTGTGTGCCAGCAGCAGGGAGAAAGTTAGCACAAATGATCGCAGTGCAAATGCCAGACAACCGTGCAATGAAAAATTAGCAGCTCTGAATGTCAGAGAGGGAGCCCGGCTCCAGCTGGCTGGCTCTGGCTGGCGGAGTGACGTGGCTGAGCTGCTTCTCCAGCTCCTGGGCTGGGGGCCAAGGAGGAGGCGGGGCCCAGAGCAGGGCCACTGGAGGCACGAAGCAGCCACCAGACTGTCCATGAAACCAACACACATGGGGGAGAAATGGTAGGACTCACTGGGGGGACAGAAAGCCCTGTCCAGGGAAACCTGGCTCTGAGAGCAGGGTTGCCCTTCCCCCAAGGCCAGGGCTGCAGATGGCAATGTCAGGGTCTGCTCAGTCCGGACCCAGAAGATAAAACCTAACAGGGACAGAGTGATGGCTGATCCAGAGCTCCCAAACGAGGACCTGAATTCACTCTCCAGGCTGAAACTGAATCATGAGAAAAAGAGTGAATGCATTAGTGGACCCCCAAGCCACCCTGGACACAATTTGGTTGCATTACAAGAGATCTCTGTTTGGAATGCAGGAGGGTATAGGGCTAAGGGCCTCCCCCGGGTCAGATGCCCTGGGGCCTGGGGCCAGCTGTGGGCTCCACTCTGAGGGGACTCTGGGTGACTGGACCCCCATGAGGGAGCCATGAAGGGTGTGGAGACAAGGCCGTCCCAAGAGCAGGGCGGTCAGGGCACACCGAGGCCGAGTGACCACCATTCATGGGGCTGCAGGGCTGACGGTGAGTCAGGGAGGAGCATCTGAGGGAGGGTGATAGAGACTGCAGCCAGGGCAGCAAAGAGCTGCCCCCAGGCATCCCCACAGCCTCCACTGTCCCCTAAGCGCCCTGAGCTGACAGGCCCCTGAAGGGCTCCTCCCTTGCCTCCACACATGCTGGAGATGGGGGGTGCATGCAGCAGGGGCCTCAGAAATGCTCTTGCCCTGGTCCTGGCCTACTCCCTCTGTCCACTGGCAGAACACAGAGCTGTGCAGGCCTGCCAGGGTCCATCCGGGCAGGAGGGGACACCTGGGACTGCCATGTCCGCCCAGCCCACCACCTCTCAGTAAGATGAGCATTTCATTTTTAAATTGACAAATAAATTATGTTTGTGCATCTTAGGAAAGCAGGTGATGGCTGCAACATGGCTAGGGCTCCTGAGACCTGAGCAGTGCCCAGATTCCAGGACTTCCCTGGTGTCCACCCTCAGTGAGGCCCCAAGGACTCGGGTGCCCTGGCCAGAGACAAGCAGGAACCTGGCCTTGGCTGGAGGGAGGACTCAGGAGAAGGACCCCAGCAAAGATAGAGAGGAAGACAGGAAAGGATGAAGGGAGCCCCCAACCCTGCTACGCCCATGGGATGCAGGGCAGTGTGGGGCCAGGAGTGAAGGCCGACCTGGTGGGACCAGGATTTGGGACGAAAGCAGAGAGGAGAGATGGCCTGGCGGCCAGGGGCAGCCCGGAGAGAGGAGCAATCCTGGTATGCCGAAGGAGGAGGAGGGAGAGGAGGCAGAGCCCCTGGGGAGGTCCCAGTGTGGGAAGGAAGAGTTTGAACTTTTCCCTGCAGGCACTAGGGAGCCACAGAAGGCTTCAGAGCAAGGGGTGCTGTGGTCCAAGGGAGGAGACTGTGAGGCCAGGAGTATCAGAAGGGGGTGGGTGAGGGCCCGCCAGGTGGGGTGTCACAGGGCACCAGACCAAGGCTGCAGGGAGGAAGGCACACGGCGCTAACAGAAGCTTCTGGGCCTCCCCTGTGTTGGGTGGAGCACGAATGTGCCGCCCTGCCAATGCAATGCCAGTTTGCAAACAAGCTGGGAGCTCCTGCCCGCCTCCTGCCTGCTCCCGGCTGGGTCAGTGAGCTGGGCAGCGTTAGGAGAAAGTCAGGGTATATTTGCTCCAAGGGCTTCCGGAGACTGACAGAAACAGCAGCGGCATCGTTGTGGGCAGCGTCGGGCCCCAGAAGTTGGGGTGACCTGGGGCACTGCAGGCATACCTGGGTCCCCTTTCTGCTCCAGCTGCTGTGTCCACCTGAAGCCAGAAGCAGCAGCCCCAACACTGGGAGATCGTTTGGCACCAGCAGGCCTCATGCCTGTGGCCCCCTCCCTGGACTTTACCTCCTTGAGGGCCTCCCAGCCCTGGACACATTGGCCAGGCCCACTTTGGCCCCCCAGAGGCTCCAGATTCAAGGCTGTACCAAGGGCCCACCAGAACCGCTGACCAGCGCTGGAGTGGGCTCCGCCTTGGGACAGACAGACCCAACAGACCGGGAGGGGCCAGGCTCTGCGATGCCCCTCAGCCCATCTGCTGCTTCCCGGCTGACCATCCCAGGGCCTATCCAGGCTCCCAGGGGCCCTGCTTCCCTGGCCACCCATGCACACGCGCAAGGGAGAAGGCGAGAGGCATTGACCCCTGGGCCAAGGGGCAGGGGCCTGGTGACCTCTGTGATGGGGAGCTTTCCTGCCAGGAGCTCCCAGGGTTCACTGCTGTTATTTGGGGGACATGTCTGACCTCTAACCTCACTTGCACAGTGTGGGGGTTGGGGTGGGCAGGAATTGGTCACCACCCAGGAGAGACCGGGCCTGGGGACGCTGTCCAGCAGAAGCCGCCGGTTGGCTGAGGCGGCCTTTCTGAGCCGGGCGCCAAGCCTGCGGCGTGAAGCCTAAAGGTTGCAAGAGAGCCGAGCTGGCCTGGCTGCCCTTCCCGCTCCTTCCTCAGGGCCCTCCTTCCAGTGAGCACTGCCACCTAGCGCCCTCCTGGACATGCCGCCCTGGGCACAGGAAGGGTGAGTGGCGGCCTCTGTGGAGAGGACCTGCAGGAGATCCGGCAGCCGCCTGGCATGCCTGAAGGTCTGTGTCCACCCACCTGCTTTCTGGCCCTGAGCCTTCAGCTGGCCCTCCCACCTCTGCCCACATGTCTTTCCACACCGTGCCTGGTCACTCCACTGACCACAGCCCTCTCTGGCCCCTTGGGCCCTGGCCCTCCCTCCCAAGCACCCCTGTGCCCTGGTTGCCTTCAGGGCCTTGGTGGAAAGGGGTCACAGGGGCAGTGTGTTCGTGCGCATGCCTGCTTGGGTATGGGGGCACCGGACACCCCATGACCTCACCAGCTGTGTGGGAATGCAGACATCACCACAGAACAGAGCACGCATTTAAGGACGTGGTCCTCCGCCCCGGAGAGCTGGTCAGGATGGGGAGAAGGGGCCAGGGCAACACCCCAGGATTGTGGGTGTGCTTGGGAGGTTCCTAAGTGGCCGTGTGGGACGGAGTCAAGCCATAGGAGGGAGCGCTTGTCCCCCGGTGGTCCACAGTGGCCCCCAGTCTGAGCCTAGAGCCCCTGGCCCACTGCCTCCTCCCCCACCCGCTGTTCCACAGGGCGCAGCTCACTCCTGTCTCCAGGCATTCCACTCCACCATGCCCGGTCCAACAGAGCCTCCCACAGCCCATTAACAAGCCTGGAAGCCGCCTACCTTCATTGCATCCTGCCGTCCTGGGAACCCACCATGTTCAGCCTCCCCGTCTCCCTCAGCCGTGCCCACCCCAGGTCATAGGTGGGACAGCAGGATGCAACTCTGTGCCTGGCCCACCTGGTCAGGGGCGGGGGGCACACAGTCCCAAAGGCAGCTCATTTGGGGGCCAGCCCCACTGTGCACTTGGCCACATTTCCAGGTGGGCTCTGGGGCCATAGGGATGCCCTTCTTCCTTCTGACCAGAACCCCTCACGCTCTCTGTGCCTCAGATCCCCCATGGAATGGGGTGATTGGTGGTCCACCTCATGGAGTTGGGGGGTATATGCAGAGAGGGGACAGTGTGGCACACAGTGGGTGCATGGCCACGAGGGCTGGGCACAGGGCAGGCAGGGAAAGGCCTGGGTATTGGAGGCAGTGGGGACCATGGGGGGGGCACGCCCTTACCCTCTCTGCTCGCCTGTCCTACTGTCTGGGGCCAGTGTCTAACCTGGGGCCTGCGGGTCCCGCCCCGAGCACAGCCTGGGCCAGGGTTTCCCGCTCAGCACCAGTTGCGTGGGGACCCCTGGAACCTCGTCCTGCCGTCAGTGTCAAGCACAGGGCTTGACCATGGGGGCATGAGCTCCCCCAACTGAGGCCATCAGGTCTGGGCACTAGACCAGGACAGGGTGGCGCCTCTGGGCTCCTGAGCCCTGCCAACCCCGAGAGGCCCAGGGAGGGTCCAGTAGGGCAGACATGTCCGGGGCTCAGGGCAGCATGGCTAAAACAGGCTCAGCTTCCGCTGCTGCTCACACCCATCTGCAGCCAGGCCCTCACCTGGACCCCCCAGGGCAGGAGGTGGCTGGGTCTACCTGGTCCTCCAGCGCCTTACCCGCAGGGCCTGCGCAGGTGCTGAGGTTAAGGGGAGAGGGCAGGAGAGGGGGTTGGGGAGCGAGGGGGCAGGTGCCAGGAACAGCGGGGAGTGGTTTCAAGGATATCAGCCCAGGCTGAGCGCCAGCAAGTCCAACGACCCCCAGATTCCCGCAGCCCCATGCAGATTCCACACCCAAGAACCAGGCTGCACGATCAGGGGCTCTCCTGGCATTTTCTGGTGGGCCTGGAGGACTCACCCAGACCCAGGCCAGAGGTTCAAGTCCCAGGACCCAGGACCAAGGGCAAGACACCTGGATTCAGCTCCCAGCACAGGCTGGACAAGCGTGGCTTTCTGTGGCCTTAGGACCCTGGTGTGTGGTCCTTTGTTATGGTGGCCACAGGACGCTGGAGGGCACACAGCCCCCCCACCGTGGGAATATACAGCCTCTTGATAGAGGCTGTCCCTATCATCCAGCCATGAGCCAGCCACAGGCTAGCAGCCCAGAGACGGTGTATAAGAGTAAAGAGGCCACACGCCAGGCAGGGTGAATCGCTGCGTTTCACTCAGTGCACAGGGCCCCTGGGCATCCAAACAAGCCCCATGGCAGAACTTGCCACATGTCCACACCCAAAGTCCCCAGCACGCCCATGCTCCGCCTGTTCTCACGGCGAGTGCCGACCTGGCAGTGAGTTGAGCAAGTCAGAATCCCGGCTGGTCCGTAGAAAACCAGAGCTCATAACCGGGGCGTCTATCCCTGGACAGTGGACAGTGCGCAGGTCTCAGGGTAGTGGGAGCACGTTCCTGGAGGCAGGCCAGCCACCACCGCGCAGGGACGCATACAGATGGTTAAAAGTGTACGTCAGCACGAAGGCATATGAAATATTCTTTGGAGCATAAACAAAAGTGCAAAGAGCCAAGGCAAGAGCGAGGGCAGAAGGCGGAGGGCGGGGGTCAGGGGGCAGGGCTTGGGGAGCCAGCAGTGCTCCAGCTTCACACCTGGCCCATCCGGAGCTTGTCTGGGGCAGCATGGCAGAGGAGGCAGGGCTTACAGCCGGTGCCCAGCGGACACTGTGGGGGCACCGGTAACCTCGGCAGATTTCCGTCAATGTGTGCTAAGATGACTTTATGAAACCCAGTCAGAGTTGGATGTGTGGCATGTGGCATCACAAACCCTCCTGCCTGGGAGCCCCAGGACACAGGCCACCCAAGGCCCCAACTCTCCCCACACTGGGTCTGCCTTCCCAGGACAGGGACATGGGGTTGCCCCGGCGCCTAGAATCTGACTCCTCCCATCCCAAACGCCTCCGGAAGCTGAGCGGTCTCGTCTCCCAGGGTCTAACCCTACTGTCTAGGCCTCCTGGTGTCCGCTGTCAGCCCCCACCCCTCACAGGACAGCAGTGTCTGGTGCAGCATGGACCCTCATGCCTGCTCCACTGGGTGGTTTCCTGGTGGGTGGCCAGCTTTCCCAGGTACCCCCAAGAGGAGTGGCACAAGCCCCTGATCCTAACAGACTGCCTCTTTGAAGAAGCCTGCCCTCGTCGTCTCTCCTACTTGGCATTTGGTAGGGGCCCAAATGGAGTTGCCCCTGGTGGCAAGAACACTGGAGGGCAGCTGGCCTGGGACAGCCACACAGCCTCCCCCAAGGAACTAGAGGCAGGTAGCCCACCACTGGTGGGCCCCATAAGCCCTACTGCCCCTCGCCCAACATCGGACCTACAAGCAGGTGCCTGGAGGTCTGCTCGGGGGGGTCACAGAGGGCAGGTCTGTCTATGCCATTGCTGAGGGCAACTCAGGACCACTCCAGTGTCGGTCAGGGAGAGGATCACTGGGCCCTGGGGATACCTGCTGCTAAGAACTCACACCTGCTGGGGTGCAAGGCACCCCCAACCCTCCGTGGGGGTCCTGTCAGAACATCCCTGTCCACAAGGGCTTGTGACATCAGAGGGCTGGGACTGTGCTATCCTTCTGACCCTAAGCATGAGACCAGGGGATGGTGCCTGCACCCCCTGCTCTGTACATTATTTACAATCTGGGTGGATGTGAACTAGATACAAATACTGGCATTTCCACAAAGGCCTTCCTGCAGCCCTCCACCTCTCTGGGCTTTGGGAAGCTTCTAGAAATGTCTCAGGGCCAAGCTCTGTTCACAAACAGGGGGACACCTACTTCATGGGTGTCCCCTGAAGGTGGCGGTCGGCAGAAGAGAGGCTGCCCCCTTCCATGTTAACATCTCCAACTTGTGACCCCCCCAGGGACTCCGGTCTAGTGCAAAGGAGGTTAAGTTAAATAAACACATGAAAGATGCCTGGCTGGTGACTTTGCTGGGCTCCAGTTCCAGGGCAGGGCCTGGGGTCCGTTCCAGGCTCCTCCCATTCTGGCCACACTGGCCCCATACAGCAGAAGTCTCAGTGAGGGAGCCCGGAGCTGGGGTGATTTTTGAGCCTCCCAGTGGGGCTTTGATGTGAATGCCCCCAAAGGAGGGTAGTGTTGCTGAGAGGCAGCTTGGCCTCCGTGCAGAGCGAGCCCTCTGCCACCTGGCTGGGGCCCCCCATTCTCCAGGGAGGCCTGGTCCAGGGCCATGGCTCATGATTTTACATGGACAGAAGGGGGCTATGCTGGGCCAGAACGTGCCAGTGAAGGGACAGGCCAGCCGTACGGCCAACGGGGCCGAGGGAGCCTGCCAGCACTCAGTGTTGTGTCTGGACCCCTGATGCTGGGACCTCCCTGGCCCGGCCCAGCCGTCTCTTGGCATCCAGCCAGCTCGGGCAGAGGATGGCAAGGGCCCTTAGGCGGGCCCCAGTGGCCTCCAGCCAGGGCTACCCAGGAGCGGGGAGGGCTGGACCCCTGCCCAGGGCCTGGAAGCCCTGGGTCCCACGTGGCCTCAAGCAAGAAGAGCCGGAGGCATCAACGGGCCATCGAAGCCAGAACCTTGGTGTGTGCCGTCAGGCACGTGCAGTGTGTGCACGTGTGTGTGAGTGCAACCGGCATGGAGATGCATCCCAGCTGACACAGCCTTGTTCTGGAAGCCATTCCCCATAGGGTGGCCCTGGCCTTGCCACGTCACACACACACACACCCAGGGACGGGCACCCACCTCCTCCCTCGCCCTTTCCTGCTAGCAGGTGCCATGGAACGCACTGCTCTGGCCCAGGGGGCTGAGGGTCCCCAGGGGAGCCTCTACCCCATCACTATCCAAAACTGCCCCCAAACCACCCCAGAGGCATGTGCCTGCTCCCCTCCCAGGGCCAGAGGCTGCACGCCCTCCTGGGACGTGGACGCATGGCCAGTCTCGCCTGGGTTCCTCCCACTGCAGCAGGCCGGCTCCTGCAGCTGGGCATGCAGCACAGAAAGCAGACTCCCTGCAGGGCAAAGAGTGCCTCCTCCTGGGGCATGGAGCCCATAACGGCCGAGACCTGATGGGACTGGTCCCTGTTGCTGGTGGCAGGTCCCAGGGCCTCCGACTGGCATCAGATGTTGGCTGCCCAGGCTCCAGTCCCAGCCTCACCCAGATGGAGGCAGGTCCACACCACATACCCGCGGTGTCTGCACCAAAGGGCCCCAGGCGGGGGAAGCGCCGCTCTGGAGGACGAGAGCTAGAGCTGCAGGAGCGGACACGGGGAGCCAGCTGGGGCTCGCGCGCCCCCACCCAGACCCCTTGGCAGCTGCCACACCCAGCCCCTCCTGGGAGGCAGGGAGGGGCACATCCTCTGCTGTGGCACAGACTGTGGGCTCCAACTCCAGCCAGACCTGCCCACCCTGGGTGCCATTATCGGGCAGGCTCAGGACCCATCCCACTCCCCAGCTGCCTGGCAAGCAGCCCCAGCAGGGAGGTGCCATGGTAGGACCCAGGGTGTTCTGGCAAGCAGGGGCAGGCACAGGCACTGCTTCCCAAAGGTCTAAGCACCAGGACCCCCAGACCCTGGCATGCTCTTTGGAAGTTCTTCCCAGGAGAAGCTGGGTTGTCTTGATTGCCCCTCTGGTCGGAGTCAGGACAGATGTTCAACAGGTGTCGTGAGGGGCCACAGGGCTCTCTGGGGACCCAGTTTTCCCAGGCCTGGCACATGTGGGGGTCACTGCCCCAGACAGCACCAGGTGCCCAGGCTCGCAGTTTCAAATGCACTGAGTGCCCAGGGCAGGAGGGATGGGTACCCTGCCCCCCAAGGGCTCAGGGTGGGGACAGATGATCCTGACTCCCAGAAGGTCACAGCTAAGGGAGTGGAGAGCAGGTGGGACTGGAGGGGCAGGTGGCAGCCAGTTCCCGTGGGGAGAGACACACTAGGCTGGGAGGGCCCCTTATCAACTCCCGTGGGGCCTTGAAGGCTTTCCCAGTGGTCACAGGATTGTCCAGACCTGGGTCCCGTCAGGGCGCCAAAGGGGATCGGCAGGGCAGGGCCCTCAGCCAGGGACAGCACGCGCGTCCGCTCACCACAGCCTGACTGGCCCCAGGACCCCAGAACTTGAGCCCAGCCTAGTGTGGTGTCCCCAGCCACTCAGCACATCTCCACTGTGGCTGGCCAAGCCTGGTGGCTGGTGTCTGGCCAGGGCAGAGCAGATCGGACATGGGGGTGCCCATCCCCCAGATCTCCCAAGGACCACTTTCTGGAAGCCTGTGGAGTGGGACCCCCCCCAGGAGCTGAGTCCAGGTTCAAGGGTCACCCCGAGCCCTGGTGCAACCCCAAGGCCCCGCCCCTCCTCTCCAGACTGGGGTCCCCCCCGAGGCCGGCTCCCCAGCTCCCATCCTGGGCCGCTCAGACCCCAGAGGGAGGAGGGAGATGGTGCTGACCAGCGGCTCTCTGGACAGGCCCCCAAAGGCGAGGGGGCATCGCCCCAGGCTGAACACAGATGGATGGGGTCAGGGGCAGGCGTCAGGGTTGGGGGAAAAGGAACAAAGGCAAGTGATACCCACAGAGCAGCCACAGGCTCAGGCCCCCTCCTCACCGGGTCCAAGACCACTGACCTTTGAGAGGACAGGCCTGCCACCCCACCTGGGCCAGGCTCCCAGGCTCTCACCTCCTGCCTGCAGCCAGGGGCCTGTCCTGAGGATCCCAGCCTCTGCCCACACCCAGGCCAACGATCTGCAAGTGGGCACAGCCGGCCTGGCTGCCCATTGTTGGGAAAGAACTCGTCAGCCTTCCCTGCATGAGACCAGGTACCTCCGACTACCTGTCGCCCCTATGGGCACCCCAACCTGCGTCACTCTAAGAAAAGGCCCCAGAGGTCCCGCTCCTGAACGGGGAAGGCCAAGAGTCAGAGAGCGGTGGGCGGGGGCCTCATTTCCGGGGCGCGGCCCAGCCCACGTCGCCGAAGGGGCCCTCCCCAGTGGCGGAGCGCGGTGGGGGCCCGCACGGCGTGCAGAGGTCTGAGTCCGTGTCTGACTCGCCCTCTGCGATGTAGGGTCTGACTTTGGCACAGGGCGCGACCGCCGCATAGCAGCTGTTGAGGGCGTCCAAGTTCTCCTTGGACTGGGAGATGCTGAAGCCGCTGAAGGAGCGTTCCAGCTCCTCGTGGTCCACGGACGGGATGGAGATGGACGTGTCGCTGTCCCGCAGGGCGCCTTCGTGCCTCAGGAACTCTGTGCTGGCCCGGTGGCCCCCGCTGCAGGCAGACAGCGACCGCTCGTGGGCAGGCGGGGGTGGGATGCGCACCAGGGGGCCATGGTCCCCCACAGGCGAGGCACCGTGGCCCTGCCGGGGGTGGCACGCCTGCTGCCACGAGGTGGAGGGTGGGCACGGGGCAGGGGGTGCAGCCAGGGGCGCCGAGAAGTTCTTTTGGCCCCCGGAGCTGGTGGAGCGGACGAGCTTAAGGATGCAGCCGCTCCTGTCTCCGTGCTCCCGGCTGTCCTCAGGGCTGCGGTACGGCGGCGCTGGCTCCGGCTCCTTGGCCCCAAAGTAGGCCTCGGTCTCCGCTGGGGATATGCCCATGCGTTGCATGTAGATGTTCACCAGGAAGTCCAGCTTCTTCTCCATGGACAAGACCTGTGGGAATGGCTGCTGGGCCATGCCAGGGTGGGATGGGGCCCGGGCTGCTCCCCAGAGGTGCAGAGGGCGTGGGGTAGACCTGCAGCTGCTCAGCCACTGAAGCATGTGGCCTCAGGGCTCCAGGGCACAGGACCTATGGCTTGTCTGGGCTGCCCTGCTGCCCACCAAGGGCCCACCCCCAGAACACAGGGCATTCCTCCCTCAGCTTCCAGAAGCAGACCCCAGCCCTGAAGACCCACCCCCAGGAGAAGCAGCCGCCCATGCGAGGCCTCACGGCCACTGTCCAGGCAGGGAAGGGGGGGCAAGCCAGGGTTCCTGCGGGCAGAAAGGAATGTGCCCCCCCACCCGGGGGGAGCGCACAGGGTGGGAGGGGGGTGGGAGGGGTCCCATCGTAGCCGCCCCAACCCAATACTCCCAGGCTAACAGGGAGGGCCCTTCGCCTGCAGTTCCCACCTGCTTCTCCACCTTCCCCAGCCGGCCCATCATGCTGGGGTCCTCAGGCAGCTCCCCCTCAGCCGGGCCCTTGGTGCGCTCCTTGTCCGTTACCGCCGGGCCCCGCCCCACGATCTGGTCCACTCTGCCAGGAAGAGACCCCGCCCCACAGTGTGAGTCCGAGTGGGTGCGGCGGCCCTGTGGCCCTCTCCTCCTGGGCCAGGCCACAGCCCCCTAGATCCAGGCTCTGAGCTGAGCCAGAGCTGACCAGGGGGCCACAGGTACCAGGACAGATGGACACCAGGCGCCTGGCTCTCACCTGCGCTCTGAGCCCTCGGGCCTGTTCCCTGTGCCCAGCCCCAGCAGGTGGGCACATCACGGGAGTAAAGCGGTAACCCTGGGGCCACTCACGCTCAGTGCCCCGCCCCCACACCCTGGCCCCCTGAGCTTTACTCTCACATGATGGGCCACTGAGGTTCCCGCCCTGCTGGGGTCTGACGGGAACAGTCACACTGCGTAGCCAGAACAAGCAGCAGGGAGATGCGCACTAGGGCCCCTCGCTCCGGGACGGGGGTGCAGACAACACAGCCAGCCAATACATAATTGGGGCAGGACACAGGGCTGCTGCCGACCAGAGTCTGTGCATGCTCGTGCGATGCTCGCGCGTGTGTGCCCACGTGTCCACCTGTGTGTGAGATGCAGAGCATGGCTGCACTGATCCCAGACGAGGCCACAGGCCACAAATGCCAACAGAGGGGAAGGAGGCTTCCTTTGGGAAGGGGCTTCTGTCTGAGCAGCACGGTGCCCACCATCCCAATGCTGAACAGGAAGGGCCATCGGAGGGCTTGAAAGGGTCACAGGAACATGTGGGCCGCCAACACTGAAAGCCACAGGTATGGGGTGCTCACTTGGAAACACACCCGGCTGCCTGCAGCCCTGGGGTCGGCCGCTCCAAGCATGCTGAGCAAACGACACTCCAGCCAGGCTGCGGCTGAGTCGAACAGCCCCCCCGGAACCCCGCCTCGCCTCTGGCCTGCAGCTTCTCATTTTGGAGGTGGGCTTGGGGGTGGGCAGCTTCCACACCCCAGCGGGCACTGTGTGAGCTGCAGCAGCCACATCTAGGCTTCCTCCCGCACCCATGGGACCGCCCCGTCTGCCTCCGAAGGGGGACTGGGGGCGACTCTCTCTTTCTGTTGCACGAAGCAGGAGAGGGGTTCAGGCCCGCATCAGCCCCAGTGCAGCCTCCGCATGCTCCAGGGGCTTCATGCTCGACTCATGCACAGGAGGATCAGAGGGGCTGGAGGGGACGACAGGGGACCGCCAGGCTCCAAGCAGACGCCGGTGGAAGACGGAGAGGGAGGAGGGGTCTCTGGTGTCTCCAGCGTCCACGCAGGCCAGGCACGGTGCTCAGCACCTTCACCCCTGCCACATGACAGGCCGCCTGCGGGGCCGGTCCCACTGGGAGCTGCGGCCAAGGGCTCAGCCTAGAGCTGCTGCTGGTGGGGGGCTGGGAGAGGGTCCTCTGAGGAGCCTGCACCCCTGCCCGAGGCCTCGGGCTGACAAGTCAGGCTTGACACCCACGTGCCCAGACTGTGCTTGTGGCCCCTTTGCGGGGAGTCTGCTCCCCGGCTGCAGTTCATGGGAGGTCTGTGGAGCTCTGAGGGCCGGGAGGGCCTTCCTGGCTCATGCTCTGAACCCAGCCACGGTCTCCTGTGGCAATACCCAAGTGGACGGGCCTGCGTCTCGGGGCACAGCACCCTTGGGCTGGGCAAGAAGGGCAGAGCAGGCGGCCCAGCCCGGCGACTTCCTGGGCCAACCTTTCCTCCCGGGAACTCCTTTCTCATGGGAGATCTGCCAGGCTGAGATGCCCAGGACACTGACCCTGGCCTCACAAGCAGAAACCCTGGCACGCACGGACGACGGGTCAGATACCCGTTGCCCTACTACTGGCCGGCTCAGGCCTGGCTCCATGTCTGCGGCAGCCAGTGTCCCTCCTGGCCTCCGGGATGCCCTTGGGCTCCTTTGCCCCTCGCCACCAGTGGGACTGGGGCATGTGCTCCAGCGGCCCTGCGCCCTTGGCCGGCCAGCCAGCTGGAGGAACAGTCCTGGCAAGGCAGGGGGGCTCCCAAGCTGGGACTCGTCACCGCAGACCTGCCCCTGCTGAGCTGCTGCCTGGCTGCACCTCCCCCTCCACCCTGGCCCGGCAGCCCCTTAATAGCTGACTCAGGCTGACAAGAGACCCCACGTCCCCTGGAGCCTGACTTGGTGCTGGGCACCCGACAGGGACTTTCCTATTTACTCTTCAGAGTAGTTTAAAGGCAGGAGAAGATCTGGACCTTGTTAGGTCCACACAACGGCCCAGCTCAGCCCTATTCAGTTGGGGGAGTGTTGGGAGGCTGAGTCAGTGCCTGGGGAAGAGCTGAGGAGGCCCAGGGCACACAGGGGCGAGGCGGGAAGGACACCGCCATCCACGAAGCCCCACACGGCTGCCCCGCGGCCTCTGCCTAGGGAGCCCCAACCGCGTGGACATCACATGGGATGTCCACGGAAAGGAGCCTCCGTGGAAAGCTCCCAGGACCCTGCCAGGAGAGGCAGCCCGCAGACACCCCGACACAGCACTGGGGCCTGCAGAGGAACCGCCGTCCCGACGTCGCTGACCAGGACAGAGAAACGCACTCTCCGTCCCGCTGGAAGAGCAGATTGGGCACTGCTGTCATGTGGCCTGGAGCGAAGGGAGCTGGCCATTCCACAGAGACAAGGCGGGCAGTGGCGGGCATCCTGACCTAGGTGAGTACTGGGGCGACTCTCTCGGAAGGGCCGTGGGTCCTTTGGTGGGGTACTTCTTGTGCCGGGGAGTTGAAGGGGGTGGGGGGCCCACAATCATATCTATCCTGGCGGGTAAACAAGAAAAGAGACACCAACAAAATGCATCGTGAAGCCACGCAGAGGGGGACTCAGCAGGGATGGAAGGAAGAACCCAGCTCAGAGCCACAGGGGGGCACCTCCTACAAACGCAGGCCGCCTGCAACAGAACCCCTCGCTTGCTTGACCTCGGGAACGCCCTGCCTTTCCCGTGCTCGGGCACACAGACTGGGGTCCCACCCCCGGGCAGCTGCGACCTCATGGTCACGTCCTGAGGCCCACCAGGCCAGCATGTACACGTCCAGCGGCACGGCCACGGCCAGCTAAGAGCATGAAGGCATTGCTGGCCTGTGACAACATCCCAGCTCCGTGGGGTGCTTGGCTTGTTTTGTTTTTCCAGACAAAAAGGGACAGAAAGGGAGTTTAAAATGGAAAAGCCTGATGGACAAAAACAACCACAGTGAGAGATGTGGTCGTAGGGCCTGCAGTCGGCATGCCGGACTGCTTCTCACGCCCACACACTCACATGCATGCGCACACTCGCACCTGTTGCCCCACTGCACATTGTGCACACATGCATGCACGTCTTCTCACATGTGCACACTCGCACACATCTGCTTACACATGCTCGCTCCTGTTTGCTCACATGCACAGTTGCACACACATTTGCTCACACAGTACAGAACCAGCCAATGCTCTGGGGAGGATGCTGAGCAACCGGTCTCCCAGCCTGAGTGAGCCCCTGTAGAGGCCGGGGTCACCACTATGGCCACCTGCCCAGTGGGAGCTGTTTATGGCAGGGAAGCCCCTCACCTGGCATCCAGGAGCAGGACAAGGGAGGTGCCCCAAGATGCCCTGACTTTTCTGGAATGGACTTTGCTCCTGCAAGGAATAGGGAGGTGGGCTACCCCCAGCACACTCCCGACAGTGCAGACCCTTCCACGGCCAGGGCCCAGGCTTCTGGGGCACAGAACCTGGTACAGCCTCATTTGAGGGAACTGGGGTTGGGAAGGGAGCTCTGACCAGCATGAGAATGTGACCACCTCAGGGTAGGCCCATGACAACAGCCTCCTTAGAGGTGCCATGCACACACGTGTGCATGCCCTTGTTTGTATGTGGTGGAGGGTGTGTGCCTGTGAGCACTCGTCTTTGGTGTGCAAATGTGTGGACTTCAGGGATCCATGTATGTGTGCATGAGGCTAGCTGCATGGTTATGTGTGTACATGTGTGTACCACCACATGTATGCACACAGGAGTGGGGGAGTCTGTGTGCACATGTGCACATACCCCCACATGGTGGGCTTGTGTGTCCTGGGCCCTTGCTTGTGTCTATCACACACATGTGCAGATGACTCCTGGGATGAGCAAACCAGTCCTCACACACATGGGGCCAGAGACAGAGCTGGCGTGTGCCCTGCCACTGCCGCACCTGACCACGGCCTCACCTGTGTCCCGCCCTGTACAGGCAGGGAGGGTGGACGGGCCCTCCATTCAGGGAGGACAGGCAACAAGTAACACGACCACCACCTGACGGGCCCCAGGAAAGCCTGCGGCTTCGTCTCCCAACAGAACCACTCCATTCCCAGCACACGTGCACACAGGCATGCACACATGGCACAGTATACAGACACATGCACACACCCACACTCATGTGCACATGTGCACATGCATGCATGTGCACACATACATGACGTGTACATGTGCACAGAGACTTATCCACCACACACGTGTGTGAGGGCACATGTGTGTGTAAGGGCACGTACACACTTGTGAGGGCAGGAAGGAAGAGAAGGGAGACACAACAGAAATGTTAAAAACAGACCACATGAGGACAGAAAGCCCTGCGGGGCCGCACGGGCTGGAGGAAGACTGCACGGGCAACAGGAACCTCCATGTTTCCCGCAGTCCACCTGCTGCGGCGCCTCAGGCGGGGGCGCACGGACCCTCTGCACCATGCCCCTGCCTGGGCCCGGGGACATGCGTTCTCAGTGTCACGCAGCCTCGCCCAGGGCCGGTCCAGGCAGCAGGGTGTGGGAGGGGCTCTTGCCTGGACTGCAGGTTCTTGATGCGGGACAGCATGTCCAGGTGGCCGGCCGAGTACTGCTCGATCACGTCCATCACGTCATAGGGCCGCAGGCTCTCCTTGAACTTCCGCTTGGACACCAAAAACCGCATGACGCTGGAGGAAGATTGGGGGCATGAGCCCCGGGCCAGAGATCACCCCAGGCCCAGTGTGCCCAGGCTGGCCCGTGTCCACCTGTCCTGGCCCTCCCAGCATCTCTGAGATGCCCTGTGTGAGTTGCTCTGTTATCTAGGCTGCCCACCCTCCACGTGGACCCTCCACTCCCTCCAGCTGGGCTGCTCAGACAGATCCTGGTACAGGGAGGCTCCCGGATGCCCCCTCAGCCCTGGGCAGCCACACCCAGGACAGGCGGGCGGCCACCGTGATGTGGGCTCTGTGGACCCCAGTGAGCTGAGACTGAGGGGCACCAGCTAAAAAGCCCTTGCCCCAGGGAGAGAGGACGCCACCCCTGTGCGCGCCCCAGATGCTGGGCCCCTCACCACACAGCCCGGATGCTGACTTTGAGGCCCGGGGTCAGGTCTTCAGTCACAAACTCGCAGTTACAGGTCTTGTCATCCACGATGTCCTCCCCGGGGAGGCTTGCTTCTGGGTGGAGGGACACAGCTGTGAGGGGTGGGCCACCCTCAGGGAGCTAGCCCCCAGAGCACAGAGCTCCCTTGTCAGGAAGAGAGCCCCTCGAAGCATGCCCAGCCCGCCCGGCACACCTGTGCTCTGGAAACCCACCCCCTGCCAGCCTTCCCAGCCCAGCCTCTCACTGTGAGCAGCAGGGCCCAGACAGCGGGGGGCGGGCTAAGGGGCGTCCCTATGGGTGGTGAACAGACGGACTGTGACAGTCCACACAGGGGCTGCAGGGCGTAGCGAGCAGCGGCTCAGCCCCAGGAGGGCAGCGGGCCCAACCCACCTTCGGAGTTCTGCCGAGACGCTGCGCCCTTGATCCGGAAAGCCTGGCGTGCCCGACTGCGGTCCCCAAAGCTCCAGCTCTTGGGCACCTTGCTCGGACTCTCCTCCAGGCTCCGGTCAGCGCTGGGCGACCGCCGGACGGTCTGGGCCTGCGGGGACCCCTTCCCCTTGGCAGTCATGCCTCGTGGGCTGGAGAAGACACGGTCTTTCAAACTGACCTTCTGACTGCGCTCACGAGAACCAGCCGACAGACAGACGGGCGGAGGGACACATGGGGAGACAGTGAGAGAGGTCACTCTGGGAAGAACTCACCAGCATCCGCTCCCAGCTGCCCATCCCCATGGAAGTGGGGCAGACAGACCCAGAGGAACAGCCACCCGGGCGGCTGCCATGGGATGGAGCCCGGGCAGGGGAGGGGCACCCGGGGCTCATGGGGACAGGGTGGGCAGTCAGCCCCATCGTAGGCCCTGGGGCAGCTCAGGGGCCCAGCCTGGTTGGGAAGGTGGCCTGTGGCCACTCAAGTCACTGCTGGGGCCTCTGCATGCTGTCCTGCCAGGCCTCCCTCTCCAAGCAAGGACAGGTTCCTACAGGCCTGTGGGTGTGGCTCTCCAAGACCCCCATGTGGGCCCCTGGCCACCCCGGTAGTGACCCCCTGCCCCTGTGCATCCCGTGACCTCCCGCTATCCCTCCATTGCCTGCCTCAGGTCTGCCACTGACCCCCAGCTCCTCTGCCAAGCCCCAGGAGCTGCCTGGCCAGGGATCGGGGGCACCTCAAGGGGAAGGTGGGGGTGAAGGCCCAGGGAGGGACAGGTGCCACGCCCCAACGGAGATGGGGCGGGCCTCTGAGGCTGGGCACACTGTTAGGCTGTGGGCCGAGCAGTCCCTCATATCCTCACCTGCAGTTCCCACTCCTGGGGAGTGAGGTTCTTGTGAACTGCGAGCCCACCCACACCCAGACACTCAGCGGCTACAGAACCTCCTGGAATGGCCTCTGAACAGGCCCTGTGCTTCTCTGGGGGCACTCAAACCCGTGCCCCTGCTGACCCCTCAGACATGGCCAGGCCCACTGCAGCTCCCCTCAGTCAGCAGCCTCTATCGGCCCCATCCAGGACCTACAGCTAAGATATGTCCTTCAGACGGCACAGAGTTGACCAGCCACAGGGAAGACAGGCCTGAGGCCCGGTCTACCCAGCCTGGACACTGAGGCCTGGGGCGGCGCCACCCCCAACTCAGGCAGCCAAGACCATCTGTGCTAGTTCAGGGGTCTCTGCAGGGGAGAAAGGCACCATGGGAAGACAGCCCAAGGAGGGGTGGGGCCCCTGGAGGCCCCATGGACCCAGAGCACAGGACCTGGGGCGTCAGCTTGCTCAGGACACAGCTGAGCCAGGAACTTCTGCACCGTGCGAGGCCCGGACAGGCCTGTGGGGACCAAGGGACCCTTGAAGCCAGGCACCGTGGGGACTGCTGATCAGACGACTCCCTCATTCCCACCCCAGCTAAGACCACCAGCTGGTCCAGCGGGACCGGAAGGGGCCTGCCCAGGCCTCGGCTGGCCTCGCTGTCCCTGGATCTCAGACAGCTCAGACTGGGCAGGGCCACTCTGGCGGAAGGCCTCAGTGTGGATGTCTGGACCCATACAGTCGCCACAGGTCAGTCCCACAGGCACTCAGTCCTCAGCCCCAGATCCGTCCTGGTCCAGCTGCTCAGGTGGGCCCACAGGTGTTAGAGGAGGAGCCTCTCTCACCTCACAAGCCAAAACTCATAGGACGGGGCTCTGGTCATCTGCCCAGAGAAAGAGCCCACTGACAGACCACCGTCTGTGTGAGAGGGCAGTGCTATGGCATCTGGGCTCTGGCGTATAGACGGGGCCAGGGGAGCAAGTTCAGGAGGGTCTGGGGGAGAAAGCAGAAGCCCTTCCTCCCCCAGCCTCCCCTTCCCTGCCAGCCACCCTCCCCAGTGTGAAATTCTAACTTCACAGAACCAGCTGTAAACAGGGACAGGGCAAGTGGGCGGCCTCTGCTGAGGTCGGTCACACCTGGGTCTGCACAGCTGGGGCTGCCCAGTAATGCGGGAGCCCGCATCCTCAGAAGACTGCCCGGCCCATGGCTGAGCCACGGATGCCCAGGAGAAGTAGGGAGAATGAGGTGACATTCATGAGACGCGCACACAGCAGGGCCAAGCGTGGCAGGGCTCCTGGCCTGACCATGGGCGCCAACGGCCCCTCTGGTGCCCAAGCAGGCTGACCACAGTCCCTGGCCTGGAGGAGTGGCCTATGGCTGGAGGCATTCTGGACACAAGCTCTAGGAAAGCAGGACAGCCTCTGCTGGGTCCTAAATCTCCCCTCCTGGGGCCGCAAGTCTGTCCACAGAAGCACCCACCTCTGGGAACACACAGGCAGCTCGGACAGGTGGGGGCAGTGGAGGCGACCCTCCAAGCCCCTCTCGGGGTGAAGGATTCAGAGCATGCATGGGTGCAGTTGTGCAAGCATGCCGCCCCCCGGGGGGCCCTGACGCTGCTGCACGGCCCCCTCCCCATGCCCAACACTCGGCACCGACCGCATGCACAGGATGACCGGCAAGTGCGACTGCAGACTATGCTGCAGGGCTGTGCCAGCGCACCTGTCCAGAAGGAGCAGGCAGGACGCAGACGGGCGGGGGGCCCAGAGCAAGCAGGACAGACACTTCCACACTCAACAGCAGACAGGGGACAGAGGAGAGAGGAAAGATGCTGTCACAGAGCCCATGGTGCAAAGGACCAGGGGTGGTTTTTCCAGCGTCCCGTTTCCAGTCTGCCCTAAACCAGGCCTGTACGTGGGAAGGGGGAGCCGAGGGCCTCTGGCTTTCTGGGGTGCCTGGTGCATCAGGGCCTCGGGAAGCCCAGCACACACAGGATGAAGACGCCTCCCACGGTGAGGTGGCCAGTTGAGGGGTAACTGTCCTCAGGTGCAGAGTAGAGGTGCTAGATTGGCAGCCCTGGAGCAAAAAGGCTCACCACCTGCAATCAGGACCCCAGAAGGCACCAGCGCCCTTCCTGGGTTTCTGAGACCCCTGGCTGGCCCCTCCTGCTTGGAGCAGGGCATCGTTCAGGAAGAAAGAAGGGCTGTCACCAGGAAGTCATTTGGAATCAGAGGGAGGCCAGCACCCCACCCGGGGGGCTGGAGAGACCGAGCTGCCAATCAGAATCGAGGCCTGGGGGCCGGGGTGGGCGCCAGCCTCTCCCTTGCTCGTCTAGAACCTCTACTGAGCAGAGTGTTTGGGGTGGTTGGGGAGGCAGAAAAGAGCCGTGCAGCATGGTCCGTCCGTGCGGCGCGTCCGCGGTACCTAGAGTGTCCAGGGCAGCATCCACACAGGGACTCTCTGCACGGTCTGCCTTTACTGGAAACGAGGAGAGTACAGTTAGTCCCGGGGCGCCAGCAACAGGGCACGGCCCGGGGCGCCAGGGCCGGGCGGGGGACAGACAGCACGGGTGAACCGAGGCACCACCCCCCAGGTCCGGCAGCTAACAGTTCGCATCTGAGCAAGGATGCTGAGGAGGCTGCACACAGTCTTCCACCAGCCTGGAAAAGAAAAGAGTCCCCTATTTTTGGAGAAAAATAAAGCAAGTTTTTTTTCCTCCAAAAATACCTTTTCATTCCAGAGTCAAGAGTTTGGGGGCCAGGTCTCTTAAAAGACGTATTATTTTTTGCTATAGTCATGCCAACCAAAAAATAATACACGGCCTAAGACTTTGCAAAAGGCTCATTGTAGATGGACAGGGTTCTGGAAAGCACACGTTTTAGGAAAAACGTGGTTTGGCGTCACAAACCGATCACTGAGGCTTTGCCGAGCCAGCCAGCTGCCGGGCGGTGGCCGCCTCCAGCTGGAGGGAAGCTACAGAGAAGGGCCCCTTCTCCTGGGGCACCTGCATCTGAAGGGACGACGAGGCCAGCCATCTGCGGTCCCTGCCCCGGCCGAAGGCCCGGCCGAGCAGGGGAGCACCCAGCAGCCGGCACTCGCCCAGAACCTGCCCAAAGGCCCAAGACTCGTCTCTGCACTAGAATGTGCACATCTGAAAGTGAAAACAACAGCAAACAAGAGCTACAAAAGCCCCTCATTGCCCTGGGGCCTCTCCTCTCCCAGCACCAGCTCAGCTGTTGCTGCTGAGACAGCAGTTCTCAAACTGTGCACCAGAGGAACCCAGACACGCCCGATGGCCTCAACTCACAGAGCTGAGCTCTACGAGGGAAGCCTCAACGTCCGCACGCTCATCTCAAAGCAGTGTCTGCAGGCGTCCGACAGGACCTCCCCAGTCACCAGAAAAGGATACCCTCAGCGAATTCCAGAAGGAGCAGGTGGAGTCCCTCCAAGAGTTCTGTGTCACCCGCAGGCTGAGCCGCTGAACCCTCCCAAGACGCCAGGCGGGAGGAGCTGGGGTCCAGCTGTCCCAGCGGGCACTCTCATGTGGTGCCAAACCTCCCTGTGACCTGGTCCCCCAGGACCCAGATGCCACACCCACACCCAGCAGCTGGCTGCTCACAGAAGCCGCTGGAACTAGCGTTCTCTCCCAGGGCACCTCAGCCACGTCCCACCAGAGCCTGCTGGGCACCAGAGACCGGGATCCCTCGGCTGCTTCTCCCAGGGGCCCCCAGGCCTGCACACAGGGCCCCGCCTGCAGGCTCTGCCCCCAGGAATGAGGCCATGGGGCATGATCTCTGCCCTGGCACCTTAGAAGCCTCCCTACTTTGACCAATCTCCCGACCAGCTCTGCTGCCCTCGAAGCCTCCCAGGCCAGATGCTGCCCAGAAGCACATCCCAGGGCCTGCGGCCCAGTGATGCCCTCTGATGTGGTGGCCGCCCCACACCTGGCTCCAGAGCACTGGGACTGAGGAATGGCTGATTGCACTACACTTCACTGAAAACTTAGACAGTCACACGGGGCCAGGGGGTCCCGCCTGCGCAAGCAGTCTGAGAGCCGACAGGGGCTGTGGGAGGGCCCCCGACTCAGGCTCGTGCACTCTGGGCGCCAGGCTGGTGCTGGGCCCTTGTCAGCCAGAGGGGTCTTTCTTTGGCTTGAGACCTGCCGGCAGGCAGCAAGGCCTGAGAGGTGAGCAGGCACGCGCAGGAGCCCAGGGCCCCTGAGGGTGGGAGAGGCACCCACAGACAGGCACCCCAACACGGCACGCTGCCACCTGCGGCGAGGAGGGACCACACGGACAGGGGGACAAAGCGGCAGGGTGGGGTCTTCCTCCAGGCATGGAGGCGGGAGGCTGAGTGAGAAACGGGACAAAGGGCAGGCCAGAGACACACCCGGGGCAGCACGGCCCCAGACCCGGCGGCTGCCCCACTTGCGGACCGGCGCACGCGCCTCGGTCTGACGCCAGCGCAGCCACGGGGTCCCGCCGGGAGCTGAGAGCCCCCAACACAGCCGCGCACATGGCCGTTGTGCGCCAGGACCGGGAGGGGGCTCACGACGGCCGAGTCCCGGCGTCCACCCACCTCCACCTGCACTTACGGAACAGGCTCCCTTCTCCGGGCAGCCCAGACATGAGCCCACCCCCTGTGGGTCCGAGTCGCAGATGTGGCACTGCCAGGCACTAAAGAGCCCTGGGCAATGGCAGAAACGCGGGCTCCGTTACCTGGCTGACAGCTGTGCCTCCCGGGAGAGGCAGCCTCAGCCCAGGGCCGCCAGAAGGAGGGCTGGGTCAGGCTGGCCCTCGGGGCAGCCGCTGGGTCTCAGGCAGGCAGGACACATGGACACACAGGGAGGAGCCGGGGGAGTGGTGTGCGGGAAGCAGGGAGAGGGGAGCCACGGAACATTCCGGAGAGCCCGGAGGAAGGCTCCCGTGTCCTCACCTTGAGTCCTGCTTTCAGGGTCAGCCACCTCATCCCCAAAGACAGACCACCGTGAAAGGGGCCGAGAAGGGCAGTGACATGATTAAAGGCACTTGGGGGGGCAGGCAAGATTTTCCAGATGGGGGCAGGAGAGGAGAGAGAGAGAGAGAGAGGCTGAGACGAGGTCTGGGCCACAGCAGGAGAGGCTTGAGGCCCGCGGGGCCACCCGGGGCCCAGGGCTGGCTGTGCAGGAAGACGGACAGGGCTGTCACTGGGGACACCCTCTGGCACATGTTTCCCACTCTGCCCGAGGCCTCGCGGGCCACCTCCGCTGCGTCCCAGGTCACTAGCACGGGCCGCCTGCCGGCCCCACCAGTCCCAACCGAGCTTCGTCCTCAACCATTTCTGGGGTCTCATCACTGCTCTTTTGGCTGTGTTGGCAAGGTGCCAGCCAGGACTCCCCTTTGGGGAGCTTGGGGGTGGAGAGGGCGGGGTTCATCCCAGCTTCGACTCCCCCACTGAGCAGCCCCTGTCTGCCTGGCAAGCTGAGCTGCTACCAAACAGAACTGCAGGGGCAGGGAGGGGAGGGGAGGTAAGGCTGACAACAACCTGTTGGGCGGTGCAGGCCCTCTCCTGCAGAGGTGGGGGAGGAGGCCCTGACAGGCATTTGCACCACGCAGCCTGGCTCCCAGAGATGCAGCCTGTGCCTGCTGCAGGAAGGGGAAGGGAGGCTCCCACAGAAACCCCACTGAGGGGTCCTGGGGCTGCACCCATGGGCAAGGCTCGGGGAGAAGACCCTCAGTGGCTTGGACCCACAGCACTGCGGAGGCCGCCCAAGCTCCAGGGCATGGTTTGTCTGGTGAGCACAGGAAAAGTGATTTCAGGGCCCAAGACACCAGCAGGCAGGGGTCCAGACACAGTTCCACAAGGGAGCACGCACGGGGCCTGGAGGCAACCCTCGGCTCCCCTGCTAACACGCAGGGCACAGACATGGAGGGAGCAGGACCGGAGGTGTGCTGGTGCACACGCAGCAGGCCCACAGCATAGGTGGGTGTGGACGTGGGCACTGACCTTGGAGACGGCTCCGGCTGCGGCTCCTTCCTTCAAACAGAAGCGACACGACTGTTAGCGGCCGCCCGCCAGGCACAGGCACACCCACCGCAGGTCAGCGCTGTGCCCACCCCCACGCTCCACCACGGGGCTTATGGGAGGGGCACAGAAGCAGCCCCCCCCCTGCAGAGCCCCTGCAGGGAGGCGGCTCTGGAGCAGAGGGGATCCTGGCAGGGCGGAATGGCTCTGACACTTTGACCCTGACCCTAGACCCTCGTGCTCTGGACACTCGTTTTAATCAGAATCACCAACACGAGCAAAGCTTGCTTCGAATAGGACGCAGGCAGCTCTCGGTCGAGTCCCCGGGGACAGGAGCAGCTTCCGCTCTTCCCACTTTGCCACAGTGGGGCTACTCTTCTCCGTAGGATTTTCCAGCGAAGGGCTGACTCGCCAGAGTCACAGGACACATGTTCAGCTTGGCAGAGGCCCACCTTCCCAGGCCCATTCCATATGCAAGATGGTGCTGCCCATCACACAGTTTGGGCTGTCTGCTTCTACTGGCGACATTCCCGGGGAAGCTTAATAGAAGGCTGGTGGCTCAGACTTCCCCTGGCTGCTCCGTGGGACCACGGCAGGCAAGCCCCGGCTCAGACGGGACGGCCTGGGTCCACGGGGGTCTGATGTGCTGCACAGTGGACCCTCTGGGGCCCACCTCTGCTTAAAGGCACCATATCCGTAACATAGCCAAGCTGACAGCAGAGACGGGAGGGCATGGCCAGACACCCTGCTTGGGGCTGGGGTCCCTGACTGCCGGCCAAGCCCACCAGCACACCCCCAGAGGTAGCGTCCACCCTGTACAGAGCCCATGGGCGAGGCCTGTGTGGGTGCCCTGCAGCCTCACCCGGACCTCAGACGTCAGGAGTGCAGCCTGATGCTTCCTGGGGGCCACTCCGCCAGCCCAGGGTCTTAGAGGTTACCCCTATGCTGGTGTCCTGAGGTGGCCCCAACAAAGTACCACACCTGAGGGCTGAAAACAACAGGACTTCATTCTCTGGGGGCCAGAAGGCAGCAATCAGGCTACAGGCAGGGCCACACCCCCTCCCAGGCTCTAAGGGTGGGTCCTTCCTGCCCGTCCAGATCCTGGTGGCCCGGGCATCCCTGAGCTGGTGGCCGAGTCCCTGCAGGCTCTGCCCTCATTGACAAAGGCCTCTCTTCTGCATCACTGTCTCCTCAGGACGTGGCCCCTGGGTCTAGGGCCCTGACAGCCCCAGATGATGTGCTAACCCCCTTTCTCCAGAGAAGGTCTCATCACTATTCTACGGCACGGATGTATCTTTGCGGGCCACCATTCAAACACAAGTTTGCACCCCAGCCCCCCATATTTACCCAGAATACCATCACCCCATCCCAATGTCCCCCAAGGTCTCATCAGCACAGAAAGTCCCAAATCTCACCTCAACCACCTAAATCAGCTGTGAGCTGCATATGACCCACCCAGGGGCTCCTCTCCAGGTGTGCACCTGGGAACCCCAATGTTGCAGGAGCACAATAGCAGGGCAGGCCCAGGACGGGCAGTTCCCTTCCAAAAGCAGAGACCGGAAGGAGAAAGGGGCACCAGTCACCAAGTCTGAGATCCGAAGGGGCCAAGTCCACAGGGCTACAGGCCTGCACACCATCCCCAGGACTGCCGCCTGCCCCGGCCCGAGCCACTGCCCCTGGGCTTGCGGGCAAGCTCATCTGGGGCCGAGCAACAGAGCCAGGATTGGCCAGCTTCCTTCACTCGGTCCCACATCCCTTCGGCTCTGGGCTGGCACACAATTCTGGAACACACTGTGGGCCTCCCGGACATGGCACAGTGGGGTCCTCACACGTCTGTCCTGCATGGCTGCTGTGAGGCTGGCTGGAGCACCAGTGCCATGAAGCCCCTCCCAGAGGCTGCCCACTTGCTCGCCTTGAGTTTGGCCGAGAACCCCAGATTCTCCAGCACTTGGTCATCTGTCCTGTCTTCAACCCACTTTCTTCCTCAGTATTTTTCACAAGTGGTGGGAGAAAGCAGGCCACACCCTCCACACGCCACTGGGACGCATCCAGGGTCTGCTCTCCACCCAGCCCCCCACGAGACTCAGGTGCGCCTCCTTGACAGAGAGCCCCTCCCTGGCACCCCCGCGGGGCCTCTGGGAGCACCCCGACCTCGCTGCTCTGGCAGTGGCTGCTCACTCAGGATGCAGCCCTCCCGCCGGCCCCGCCTGCTCCAGGCACGTCCAGGCCACTCTACCCTGTGCTTCAAAACTGTTCCGAGACCCTCCTCTCCTTCCCCATCAGCCAGTCCCACAGCGCTGCACGTGTCTGGGGCCACCAGGACAGTGCCCCACTTCCCAGCACCAGGATCTGCACATTGGCCACACAAAGCACCATGCTGAGCGGCTCGTGCAGACATCTGTTCTTGGGAAGACCCAGAGGCCAAGTCCAGGGTCAAGGATCCAGCCCGAGCTCCCCCAGGCTCCTAGAGGGTTGTCCTCGTCTCTCCCAGCTCCTGATGGCCCCAGGCACTCCCAGCCAGATGGCCGTCCCTGCAGTCCCTGCCTCCTTCTGCTGGCCATCTTTGTGGTCTCTTGTAAGGACACCGGTGCCTGGACCTAGGGCCCATGCTAATCCAGAATGCACACATGTGCAAACACCTTTTCCAAAAGGCTGCATTCACGGTTCCGGGTCAGGGACATATCTCTGGCGGATGGGGGCCAACATGCACCCCCTGCAGCAGCCTGGCCTAAGGAGCGCCCTGCAGAGAGGGCAGGCTCAGTGCGGCCCCGGACGGGGGTGGGTGCCTCTGCTCCTCTCCAGTCAGGACCCTCTCCACCACACCTGACAGCGTACTCAGGGCCACAGACTCTGTGGTCACGCGAGAACTAGCCGCAGCGCCAGTGTGCACAGCCACCCGGCATCCCGGGAAGATACAGGCTCGGCCCCTCCAGCCACCAGAGCCTCTGGTGCCACCCCGGGCTGGCCGCCCTCTGGGACAGATTTGACCAGGTCGACAAAAGGGAGGACCGGCAGCACGTCCAGGTCCCGTGGCCACCCACGCCCCAAGCAGCCTGCCACTGCCTGCACCTCCCAGGCTCTGGTGGGCAGCAGGGCCCCTTCGGGACCAGACGCTGAGCCCCGAGCCCCAGAGGAAGCCCCTCGGGGTCCCCGAGCCCTGACGAGAGCGCCCCCACCCTGCTGACCTGAAGGTCAGTCCGGATTTGCTCTTGAGATTCCGAAGCAGCTCCAGCTGGTTCAGCGGTGGGATCAGTCTGTGGCGAGAGAGAGGCTGTGAGCTCCCCGGCCTGAGCCCAGCCCCTTGCCCCTGCTCTCACCAGGTCCACCGCAGCACAGCTGTGGTGGCAATGCTCGGGACGTGGGGGGTGGCCTGTCACGGGCAGAAGAGGGAGGATTCCCGGGCACCCTGAGGGCCCCTGGCTCCACTCCAGGCCCAGGGGCACCGTCTGCTCTCTGGGCCATGCCGCTCCTGGGCGCCTGGCCCTGGAAGAGGGCTGTGACCAGCACACACAGCAGAGTGGGGGCAACAGTGCCCAGGCCGTCCACGAAGACCCCGGCCTCACCGCAGGTCCAGGCCAGCAGAGGCCAAGGGCGTCTGCCGGTCCCCTTCCAGGCCCTGAATATCCCCAGGGGCTGCACAGGTGCACACAGCACCCCGACAAATTCAGGGTCTGAGGCCCCTCTGCAGAGCCGCTCTCTGCCAAAGCTGGGCAGGGGCCCAGGCCACAGAAAAAGGCTTTGCTGGGCAGAGAGTCACTGGGTTTGCAGGGGGACACCCGAGAGGCTGGAGAGGAAGCCCAGGGACCCTCGACAAATGGGCCTGGCTCCACCCCAATCCCCCTTCCCAGACCAAGTCGCACCCCTCCTGCCAGCCTGGCCCGAGTAGCCACCAGCCGCAGGGCAGCTCTAGAAAGAACTTCTGGGGAAGCCAGAGGAGAATCAAGTCCCTGCCTTGACCCCAGGGTAGGGGTTCTACAAGCTGGGAGGTGCCACCTCGCCCCTGGGATCAGGGCCAGGCCCTCTCTGGACACTTGCATCCACTTCCGTCCAGGGGAAGGTCTGTCCCTGGCCCCACACCCTCAGGTCTGGCTCTCCCCCCATATGCTCCTATCTCATCTGAAGGAGGAAATGTCCCTTGCCCTGGACCTCCCAGGGTCCTCAGCCTGATGGGGTCCCAGTCACTCCCTTAAAACCACACTTGACTGGCCCCGGCCCCAGGCCTGCCCTTGGCCTGCATCCTTCCTGTCCTGAGGACCCCAACCCGCCCGGCCCCTCTTGCCCTGGCCGAGCAGCCACGCCGGGCCTCTCCTTAGCATCTCAGGGCACCACCTACCAGAGGACCTCGCCCTCCTGGTGGCCCCTGGGCTGGGCTGCCCCTCCAGCGCCCTTCTCGCCCTCTGCCTCCAGGCCAAGCTGGGGCCCATGTCGTGGGCGCACCTCCACCGACACGGCACCCGCCCTGCCCCCCTGCTCCTGCCACACGTCACCGCAGTGTCTTGGCCAGCAGGGGCAGCGCCTGGCCCTCTCTGTTCCCTGGCCCAGCCCCAGAAACCCTGGCAGGAAGGGGCCCTCCTGTGGGCTTGCTCTCTCCCAGGCTGCCCTCCCCACTCTGTCCCCTGCCTCTCCTCTCCAGGGCTGCCCCCACTCTGAGGGCTGAGGCCAGGTGGGAGGTCCAGGCAGTCGGGTCGGCTCACTCCACAGAGCCCCAGGACCAGACACCGGGCAGAGGGGGCCTCCTACGCCTCCTCAGCCATCCCACCAGCACAGCTGTGCCCACTGAGCCCACAGACACACAGATCCAAGGGGAGGAACACTGGACAGGAGGTCATGCTGTGGGCACACAGCTGCAGGGGACAGAACACTGGGGGCAGGGCCATGGGCAGGGCTGTGCACACACCACAGGGGAGGGCCGCGCTCACAGCCCCAGCCATGGAGGGCGGGCACGGGGACCAAGGGGGCACTGCGGGATGGGACTGGGGGATGTGTTGGGGGCACCCCCGGGAGACGGCAGCTGGACTGAGGCTCAGCTGTGCCCAGAGACAGCTGAGGGGGGGTGCCTACATGGTGGTGGGCATGTGAGCCAGCCAGAGACAATGGGCCAAGGGCCCGCAGGTCTAGGAGAAGCGTGCCAGGGCCTGAAGCAAGGCCTCCCCAACCACCCGGGTAGCCCGGAGCCCGGAGTCCAGGGCAAGCAGATGAGGAGAAAGCCGCTGCCCTTACCACCTCCTCTGAGAGGCTTCTGGGGGCCGGCAGGGAAGGCAGGCCTGGAGACGCCCTGGGGCTCAGGTCCCTCCCACGGAGCCTGGCCTGACTGTCCAGCGGCTCCCCTCCCCATCTGGGAAGGGGGAGAACCTTCTAACGGCCCCCCTACATGAGAGGTGCTGGGAAGGACAAAGGGCTCTGGGAGGTATGGCTCGAGGCACCTGCCCGAGACCCTGGCTCTGCCTCAGGGGGAGAGGGTGGCGCCTTGCTCTGCAGGGAAGGAGAGGCTTACAGGGGGTGGGGGTCCCTGCAGCAGCTCAGCCCCCATCCTCACTCTGGGCACATGGCCCACGTCTCCCTAGGGTGGTGGCTAACAGGGAGAGTCCTGTGTAGCTGCGTCTGGGAAGTGAGGGTCACCACAGGGCCTCTCTCCTCCCGGAGCTGTGTCCCCCCGAAAGCGAGAAGACTCAGGGGTGAGGGGTCCGGAGGGAAACCCCAAGCAGGGCCAGAGGAGAGCTGCCTGGGTGCGTGGGAGGCCCAGTCCCCACCAGCCCTGCGCTGGGCAGGGGGGCCGTGGCCGGGGGCGGAGGCGTGGGGCTGCGGAGACCAGGTAGGAAGCAGGACAAGGGACGGACGGATCCCGCACAAGAAGCAGCCAGGTGGGCACGAGGCGGCTGGAGGGTTGGGGAGGCGAGGAAGGTGAGCGGCCGGCGTCACACTGCCGGCACAGGACGGCAGGCGGGGATGTGGGAGCAGGGGCGCTGGGCGGCCAGGGCTGGGCCCAGGCGTCGGGTCCGGGGCGGCCCAGCGTCCCAGACAGAACGAAGCACACCACACACTTCTGTCCCATGCATTTCCTACCTGGATGCCCCGTAGGTTTGAGTTTGCGAGCTTTCAAGTGTTTTCACACACACACAAAAGGAAAAGAATGGAAATTTAAAAAGACGGGGATAAGAAAAGGAAAATGGAAAACAGTTAGGAAAATAGGGGAGACAATGGAACAGAAAATTAGTGGGAGGGTCCATCCTGCCTCGCAGGGGTGGGAGCACAGGGCCGGGGCAGAAGTGCCCTCCCCACAGCTGCGTGTTCCAGAAAATGCTGGATGGGACAGATGTGGAAGGCAGGCAGCCCTCTCCCCAGGTGATGGATCCCTACAGAGGAAGGTGGCAGGGAGCGATGGCCTCTGGCCTGCACGGCGCTGCTGACCTCAGGGTCCCTGGAGGAGCGGCCTTAGCCTAGAGGCCCACCAGCTCCAGACCCCCAGCACTGGGAGACAGCTGCATGGGTGGGAGCCCCCTGGGGCGGTGAGGCGAGTCCCTAGGCAGGGCGGTGCCCACCCAGAGGGTCCCCAGCCTGTCCCCCACAGACCTCATTTAAGCAAGAACCCAGCACAGACAGATCCTGCGGGCTCCCCCCCTCACCCTCACTGCCACCTGTCTGAAAATCGGTGCCTGGAGAGCCACTGGCCGACCACGCAGCCCAGAAGGCCTGTTGGCACTGCCTCCACCGACTGCCCCCCAGAAAAGGCTTCCTGGGCCCCTCTCTTGCCCGCAAGGATGCCTGGGGGTGTCTGTGTGCTCTGTCCTCCTGGCGGCTCTGGAACCCCAAGATAACATGGGGGCCCTGGTCCTAAGCCCTGCTGTGGTCTGGCTGTCCTCCCCAGGCACACACCCGGTCCTCACTGGAGGACGGAGGGTCAAGGTCCTCCTTTCGGTTCTAAAGCTCTCAGGGGGCCGCCTGCAGGGACCCAGTGGGCATTTACCTCCACGAGCTCCCTGGGGAGGGGCCTGTCTTCATAAGGCTCACAACACAACTAAGCAAGGGGGGATGAAGGTGAGAAATAAAAGCCGCAAGCTACAAAACAAAGAACAAAATTAATATGCGAAATAAATCACACACAAACTCCTCTTAGAAAAGTGCATGTGTTTTAAACATAAAAGAAAAAAAATTAAAATAATGAACAACAAAAAGCGTGGGGCTTGCGAACCGGGGACAGAAGCGCAGCCCGGGCAGGCAGTACCTGTACATGGGTGCGGTGACCGTGCGCTCATAGTACTGCCACGTCGAGTGCAGGTCTGTGCGCGACAGGTTGGTGGCATAGAATCTCCAGGCGGACTGCAGGCAGACAGCAAGGGTCAGGTGCCAGCACGGGCGGCTGGGGCACGCGGAGTGCCGGATGCCCCCAGGGCATGCCCACCTGTCCCAGCCCCCGCAGCCTGTCACCCGCCATCTGGGTCTGGAGGAGGGCACACGAGGCGAGCCCAGGGGAGTCTGCAGAGAGCCTCTAGGTCCTGTCCCCTGCTGCCTTCTCACCAATGCCTGCCATGGCACCTACCAGCCCTCCCCAGTCTTGCCTGACACCCACTGGGCTGCTGCAGAAGCAGGCACGGCAGGGCCCGGGACACATGCCTCGCCCCTCCCTGTGGCACTGTGCCCCGTGAGGGGTGGGCCTGGGCCTAGGTTCTGGCTTGTCTGGTAACCACTGAGAAACGCACGTGAAACTGGCCACCTGTGAAGTGCACACATGGCTGCGTGGGTCACCTCCGCAGCATTCTGGGAAGGCCCTGCCCACAGTAGTCGCTCCCCTGCCCCCAGGCCCTGGCAGCCCCCACCTGCACCAGTCTCCACCTTGCACACCGGTTTCTCTACAACTGCTCCCATTTTTGTACGTTTTAGCCACGCTGGCGGGTGGGAGTGGGGTCTCGCGTTCTGGCCTGTTTGCCTGACGAGGAACAGCGTCGAGCATCTGGGGCATGCCCGTTGGCCGCCCGGGTCTCCTCTGCCCAGTCTGCTCGGACTCTCGGGGCTCTGCAGCTGAAATGCGGGCCTTTCTATACTCGGGACGCTGGGCCCTCATCAGACACGAGACGCTGGCATTTTCTCGATCTGGGGGCCGGCGCTCACTCCGCAGGGCCCTTGGGCGCACACGGTCTCCCGTTTTGATGGAGTCCTATTTATCTATTTTTCCTTCTGCTGCTTGTGCTTTTAGTGTCATACCTAAGAAACCAAAGTCATGGAGATTTAGGCCTGTTTTCCTGAAGAGTTTTATAATTCTAGCTCTTATATTTAGGTTTCTGATCTAATTTAATTCTGTACTCAGTGTAAGACAGAGGGAGGCCAAACCTCGTTCTTTGAAACCTGGATGTCCGGTACTCCCAGCACCATCTTTTGAAGAGACTGTCCTTTCCCCGTCGGATGTACGAGGCTCTCCAGTACCGAGGCTCGCTTGTGCCCCAACATACGGTCTGTCCTGGTGAATGTGCCACATCCACACGGGAAAGACATGCCTGCTGCCGTTAACTGGTCTGCAGGGTCTGCAGGTCCACTGGGCTCATAGTGCTGAGCCTCTGTTTCCTTGTGATCCTTTGTCTGGTTTTTCTATCCTTTATTGAAAATGGGGTGTTGACGTCTCTAGCTACTACTGTAGAAACGTCTGTCTTGTCATCTAATGCTGTCCGTTTTCGCTTCATATATTTTTTGGGCTCTGCTGTCAGGATATCTATGTCTGTAACTGCCATATGGTTTTCACGGATTGACCATACTGTCATCACGTAGTAGCCTTTGTCTCTCACTCGACTAAAAGCCTACTTTGTCTGACGTGAGCCACAGCCATCCCGCTCTCTCAGGGCACTGTTTGCACGGGCATATTTTCCCACTTTTTCACGTTCAACCTCTATTGTCTTTGGATCTAAAATGAGTCTCTAGTGGACAGCATACAGTCGGAGAGATTTTCAATCCATTCTTCCAGCCTCCCCCTTTCAGCTGGGGAGCTCGGTCCACTTACCTTTAAAGTAACTACAGATCAGGGACCACTCGCTTCAGCTGCGTTTTGCTTTTCTGTCCCTTCACTGCTGCCTTCTTTCGTGTTTAACTTGCTTTTTTTGGTTATTTTGAATAACCGGAATCATTATATTTGTTCTTTTATTTTGAGTCCCTTCTCTGCTCCCATACAGCCTGTTCCCCGTGTTGTTACTGCTACGAATTATATCTTTAAACATTTTGTGCCCCAAAATACAGACTTATGTTTACTGTTTTATGCACTTGTCTTTTAAAACATGTGAGGAAAAAAGATGAATTACAAGTCAAAAGTGCAACCACTTTTATATTTACCTATGCAGTTACCTTTTGCCAGCGTTCCTATGCCTGAGAGGCCACTCAGCCCTGAAAAAGGTTCCAAGTGGGCAAAACAAAGGCAAATGCCTGAGCTGATCCCTCAGGGAGCCATCAGGCAGGTCAAAACAACCATAATTCTTGTGCAAAAAGACACGTGTTTCCCCCCAGCACCAGGAACACAGCCTCAAACCTGAGCTGCCCGCGTCCTAACGGGGGAAAGGCTGAGACGCTCACAGGGAGAAGCGGGGCAGGCGCGCCACTGTGGCACGGAGACGCTGAGACATCTCACACCCAAACGACCGCTGGTGCACAAGCACCTCAGCGGGCAGGGGCTGTGTGTATGGGCCACGCTGTGGCCCCATCCGGATCGGGCTCCTGTGCCGCATGAACCACGGTGGCTTTTTGTTGTCAACAGCGGGGTAAGACTGCAGGGCATCTTTGTTCTCCCTTATACCCTTACAATGAAAACAAGTAGCCGTTTGGCGTTTTTATGATGAAAGATAAGGACATACATACATACAACTAGGCTGCACCCAGAGCAAGACCCCCCATCTTTAGGAAAGAAAGTGTCCAGCTAACCTAAACCCCAGTCAGCTCCAAAGGCCCACCGGGCACTATGGGCTTTGCGGAGGGGCTGCAGGAATGTGGGGCCCTGTGGGCGGCCTGCTGCTGGGGCCCAGGAAGCACCACTGGACACTGAGTGGCCGCTGTGGCCCTGGCGGTGGATGGGCTGGGTGCTGGGAAGTGGTGTCGTGGCTCAGGCACCTACTGGCTACCTGAGAGGGGCTCTGAGTGCGATGGGTGCGGGAAGGGTGCGACAGCCCACCTGGCAACCTGCGGCCCCGTGACAGCCTGGGGCCCAGGGCCCGCAAAGCATGCCGTGCCCGGTGGTCACTGTGCCCACTGCGGTGCCACCGCGGGGGGTCCAGCCTGGTTCTCAGCACAGACCTGCCTCCCGGCAGAAGGGCAAGGGCTGTGGCCTGTCCATGCAGGCAAGACACCAGGGGCCCAGCAGGCCTGCAGCACCCAGGGCCAGACATGGGAGGCCAGGCCAAGGGTCACCCACTGGGCCCCTGCACCCACCTGAATCAGGCCCGCCGCAGGGTTCCGCCGCTTCTCAAAGTGCTTCTGCCGGTGCTGCTCCTGGACTTTCAGGGCGAAGCCGGACCCCAGAATGCCCTGCAAGTCATCCGGTCAGACGGGGCCCAGAAGCGCGGCCGGCTCACCCCACCCGCACGCAGCTCCCGGCTCCCCAGATCAGACCCTCATCACCCAGAGGCCAGGCTGGGGAAACGCCTGGAGCCGGGTAAAGGGGACGTGGGCATGCAGGAGCCAGCGTGCAGGCCACACCACTGCGTCTGGGCCTGGAGGCTGAGCCTCCCTCCCTGACATGTCCACACTGGGGAGTGTGGGCCCGGGTTTGTGGCCAAGGGCCACGGGGCATAGCACCTCCAGGGCCGGGGCCCCTCACCAGCCTCGTGCCCCGTCCAGCTGTGGGCAGACAGCTAACAGAGCCCTGGACTCTTCCACAGGAGATGGGGCCTTTGGTCCCCTGGAGACCTGATGAGGGTCACTGTGCAACATCGCTCCTGGCCACAAGGACTGCTGGCCGACCCCAGGGGACTGGGTGGGGCAGACAGTGACCAACAGATGTGCCTGGGGACACCCTGAACACTCTGATGGAGTAATTGGGTGCTGCCAGCTCCAGGCCAGGGCAGGTCCACTCCAAACCCCGGGAAGGGTGCCCCTTGCATCAGCACCGCCACCACCAGCCCCCAGGGATGGTGGACCCTGCTGGGAGCCGTGGTCCCCTACTGCCTACCCCTCAGTGGTCATGCCTGGAGCAGCCTGCAGTCCCCTGGGAGCCCAAGCCCACCCCCAAAGGCAGGAAGGGGCAGGACTTACTGCAGGAAGAGCAAAGAAGGAGACGCCGATGAGGGTGAAGGTTGCCGCCAGTAGCCTCCCATTCCAGGTCTGGGGGTACTTGTCCCCATAGCCGATGGTCGTCAGGGTGATCTGGGGGACAGCGAGTCTGGTCACGCGGCCAGTCTGGCAGTGGCCACCGCAGGCCCTGAGCTGGACTCCCCTCAGGCTGGGGGGCTACCCCTCAGGGCAGGCCGGACAGCCACAGAGCCCCCACGCCCCTGTGTGTCTCTCAGCTCCGTGCAGGGCGCAGGGAGGAACCCAAAGGCGCTGCTCCCGGTCACACCCGGCAGAGCCAAGGCAGTACTTTCACATTCGGTACAGCGAGCAGGCAGTGGGTGGCCCTGGGACCGGGCTCAAGGCACCGGAGGAGCCAGGCCAGCGAGGGCCCGGCACCAGGATGAGGCGCAGGGCTGCAGGGGCCACCTGCCGGCAGAAGCCAGGAGAGAGGGGCGTGAGGGTGGGGCCGCGGCCCCCAGGGGTGGTGGGGAGGGCGGGCTGCGGCCGGTCTGGGCACCGGGCTCAGGGCCAGGCAGGGCAGCCTGCTGGTGCCAGCATTAGGAGGGCCTGGCATGTGGGGGACAGATATCTGGAGACCTGGCATTCAGGGGGGCTGGCATTCAGGGAGCTAGCATTTGGGGTGCTTGGAATCAAGAGGCCTGACATTCAGGGGGCTAGCATTGGGGGGACTGGAATTCAGGGGGGCAGGGTTCAGGGAGCTGACATTCAGAGACCAGGGTTTGGGAGGCCGACATTCAGAGGGCCAGCATTCGGGGGCTGACCTGGGAGGGAAGACCCTCTGACGACCACACCCAAGCAGGCCTGCAGAGCGCAGCAAAGGGGGCTCACGGGGACGGGGCTAAATGTCCTCCATCACAGCGCAAAGTGACGCGTCTCAAGGGTAAACCAGAAGCACGGTGCTAGCCTGGGGATGCGGAGGTAAACCCCAAGCATGTGCGGGGCGCCCCAAGGCGGGAAGGCAGGGCCCCAGGGGTCAGAGCCGGGGTGCACAGGGAGGCTCCACAGGGCCAGCGACCACGCTGTGTCTCCCCACGTGGTCAGGTCAGAGGACACGGATTCCAGGCCTCATGAAACTAACAAAATAACCAGGAGTAAACTGAATTCTGGCTTAAACTTAAACCAGGAGAAGACTTAATTCTGGTTAAAAGCTGGACATCCCTCTTCCCAGCAACTGGATTCACAGTGTCTGACCAAGGCACCGCATGTTTGGGGTCCCAGGAGACCCCAGGCATCCCCAGTGGCCCGGGAGGAGCCCTGAGAAAGAGAGGCCCCCCGCCCCACCCTGCTGTCCGTGGAAAGGGGCAAGGAGCCAGGCCCGGCTCTGACGGTCCCTGGCCATGAGGCCTGGGCACCCTGGTCACCGTAGCCACGAGGGGCCAGCAGGTGGCCCTAGGGAGGCGCCCCGCCCCTCAGCGCAGGGCCCTGCCGGGACTCACCAGACCCCACCAGAGTGCGTCTGCGTACGTGTCGAAGTGGTCGTTCTCGCCCTTCTCTGCCAGGTACACCAGGAATGAGGCCAGGATGAGGCAGAGGAAGCCAATGTACCAGGCGGTGACCAGCTCCTACAGAGACGGCCACGTCACGGCCTGGCCCCAGCCCCAGCGTCTGGCCCAGCCCGCCCCTGGGAGCCTGCTACGGACTGCGGCTCAGGCACTACGGTACCGCACAGCCCTCACTGGGGCCAAAGAGCCCCAGTACCCGGACCACAAGGCCCAGAGCACAGGGCAGGCGGGAGGGGCAGCTGCTCCCTCGGTCCCGGCCCCACGGTCCCCACACCTATGCACCTCATACCCAGGCGGCTGCCACTAGGGACGGCACCAGTTTGGGAGCACCCCTAGGCTGAAGAGTCATGGTCCTGCTGAGACCCTCCCTTAACTTCCCTGAGTCTGGAGGGGTGCCCCGGAGCAGCTGCCCTCCTGGGGGATCCAACACCCGCCCTGTCCTGCCAACCACGCCCCCACCTCTAGCCCCAGAAAGTGAGGACAGTTGGGAGGGGACCGTTTGACCAGTAAGCCCTCCCAGGAACAGGATGGCCTCACAGCACAGCCTTACAGGCAGGCCCTGGGACACAGGGAGGGCTTGTGTCACACAGGAAGGGACGCAGGGCTGCAGGCCAGGGGCTCCTGCAAGCCGCAGCATCAACAGGCAGATGACCAGGAGTGTGGAGCCAGCTCACCGCCCAGCCCAGAGTCACAGCCGGCGGTCCTGCAGGGAAGCTGCTCTGGAGAGATGCCCCACGGAGAGGCTACGGCCCCAGGGCGCCTGGAGGGAACAGCTGCTTCCTGCCCCCGATGGGCGGCCCTGCGGGCGGCTCACCTTGCTGTGCGCGTACACCACGGAGCCCAGGAGCTTCCAGGTGCCGCCACGCCGGTCCATGCGGATCATCCTCAGGATTTGCAGGAACCGCAGGCTCCGGAGCGCCGACGTGGCGAAGACATTGCCCTGGGAGCCGGCAGCCAGCACGGCGATGGACGCGATGAGCACCATGATGTCTGTTGGGGTGGCGGAGCTCCAGCAGGGCCGCCAGGCGGGAAGGCAGGCAGCACACGGGATGGCGCTCTTGTCCCCTAGCCCAGCCTCCCGCCATCCCTGCCACGCTAATGCTAACAGCTAACGGGCTCCGACACCAGGAGGGCGGGGTTGGGGCGGGTGGGGCAGGAAACCTCCAGAAGGAGCCGGTCCTGCAAAGCCACCCAGCCTCTGGGCCATGGCAGATGCCCAGCTCCCTCCCAGGGCCAGGCCCACCCCCGTGCCCCCTGTGCGCCCAAACTAGCCCTGGCCCCAGGTCTCACCGATCACACAGAAGGGCTTCCGGGCGAACTTGAGTCGCCCCCTCCAGCCGCGGTACCTGCAGCAGCAGCCTGCAGCCCAGATCCGCACAAAGTACTCCACGCCAAACACCACGATGGTCACAATTTCCTGCGGGGAGGCCGCAGCTGAGCACCGGAGGCCACAGAAGGTGGAGCCGAGGTGTGGGGGTGCGTCCCAGGGCCCGAGCAGGGCGGGCTGGGCTCCCCAGAGGTTCGTTCTGGATGTGGGCCAGCCTCCTTGCACACTGCCCATCACCAGCAGCAACCCAGAAATCACACTGTGGTTGCCATGGTGCCTACCCACGCAAGGTCATGGGGTTGCTGTGAGCTTCACAACCCACATCCCATGCCCACGTCTGCTGGGGAGCACCCCACCCACCACGGGGGGCCACCTGTACCCTCAGGCACCGTGCAGACATGGGGAAGGGCTAGGTCTTGGAGACCCACTGTTGTGGGTCTGAGGCTGGGTGGATGGACATGGGTGGGAGGTCAGGGGTCCCTGCCGGAGGACAGCGTCTGGTGAATGGGAGGGGACCCAACATCAGAGGCCCCACACCCAGGGTGCTGGGGGACAGACTGCTGCCCGGGAGGCCCGCAGCCGGCCTGTGCAACCTCACCAGGATGTAGAGTGCACCCTCAGAGCTCTTCTCATACTCTTTGATGGTGGAGAACACGGACAGCACGAGGCAGGAGAAGACCAGCAGGAACCTGGAGGGTGGGAGGGCGTCGGCCGCTGGGCGCAGGGCTCAGGGAGCCCCTCCACAGGCCGCAGCTGCCCAAGCATTCCTTGGTGACATGTGGAGCCTCCCCAAATTCTCACCACCCTCGTCCCCAACATCCTGGGGCTTTAGTTAAGTCCCCAGAACTCTCAAAGGGAACAACGGCTGCCTCGGGACCTCTGAAAACAGGAGGCCACAAAGTGCAGACACCTGCCCCTGAGGGCGTTCCGCACACCCACTCCCTCCCCAGGCTCAGAAGCTGGAAGCTTCTTCCTTCCAACACAGGCCTGCAAAAACACACACCCTGCGCCTACGGGCTGCACCCACCGCTCCTATCCAGCCGGATGGGGGCCTCCCGGCAGCCAGCGCAGACACCCAGCCCCCTCCGCTGCACCAGCCCAGGGTCTGGCCGAAGCTGACGGGTGGGGGTGGGGTCTCAGGGAGCAGAGCCCCGGATGGCTGAGGCCCAGGTCATGACAAGCAGGGTGTGGGGCCGCTGGCAGGGCTGCACGCTGTACCCTCCCACACATCACCGCCTTGGCCTCCCCCATCACCCAGCTCCACTGGCCTCCCAGTGCGGGGGTGGGTGCTGGAGGGCATTCGGGCTATGCCGTGTGGTCGCACCTGAGCCCAGCCTGGGCCCTGCCCTGTCCAGCTAGCACAGGGGCCTGGGCTGCACTGGTGGACACACGCAGCACCACAAACCCGAGCTTGAGCCGGGTCCCGGGCTCCCCCCGGCCAGCCCCACATCCCCCAGAGGCCTGGCAACCGCACCCAGGGCCCCTCGCCTGTGGGGCTGACCCCTCAGGTGCGGCCTGTAAGGTCTGCTGCCACCCAGCAGCACCGCTGGCAGAGACCAAATGCACACAGAGAAACGGTCACATTTCAAAACCGCAATTAATTTCCTTTGCTTATTAGCCAATTTACTCAATTAACTGAGCCCTGGGAAAAAAATGTCCAGATATCTCATGTGCCTTATATTCTCGATTCTGTCTGCCTGGCCGTATTTTCTTCCGATTCGGGGGAGGGTGCACCCAGGCACAAAGCGGGTCTGCCGGGGACAGAGGATGGGGAGATCCGGGTTCCAGGCCAGGACACCGTGGGCTGGGGCAGTGGGAGTCACTGGAGCATGGCCTGCCACAGGGCAGCACCCAGACACTGCTGGGCTCAGCGCTGTGACACAGGGAGCCCAGGGGAAACACAGAATCCGGCAGGCTTCCCTGAGGCGGTGCCCGTGAGGGCAGCTACTGCAGGGCCAGAGGAGAGGTGGGGCCCCGAGGGAAGGGAAGGGGTTCCCAGCCACGGGAAGAGCATGGGGCATGGCCTGGGGTGGGGGCAGACAGCATCCTGGGACACAGAGGGCAGGTCTGACCAGACCGCAGGGCAGGCAGGCCCACCTGATGCCACCATCACCACGCGGGGGAGACTCAGAGGCCAGGGTGCCCACCGAGACCAGCTCCTCAGGTGCATGGAAACGTCCCTCCCCAGGGAAAGAGGAGGCGCAGCCATGGCCCATCTTGGAACATCCCGGATGGCCTGGCCACGCTGTGCAGATGTGACCAGGATGCTGGGGCCACACGAGCAACCGAGGAAACAAAGCTGTGGCTGTGGGGAAGGGCAGCCAGCCAGGCAGGGAGCAGACTCCGCGGAGCAGCTGCCCTCCCGGAAGCGCCGGCGACCACTCCGAGCCTTGTTTTTGAAGTTTCAGAACAGACGATGGCCCAGACAGCAGGGCAGGCACGGCGGGGTGGGAGGGGGCTGCAGGGGAGGCAGCGGCAGACACCAGGGAAAGGCCAGCTCGCCCGCATGGGAGGGCGGAGGCGTCCGTGTCCTGCGGCAGCAAGGGGCCCACGAGGGGCCGCCCACTCGTCAAGCCACGGCACGCCACACCTCCAGGCCCAGGACGGGCTCCCGACAGACCAGGAAGGGGACTCCTCCAAACTGCCCTTACTCTCCACGCCTCCCAGCAGCTGGACACGGAGAAAACACATCTACTTCCAGGCTCCTGTCTGCAGGCACCCTGACGGTGATCACTCCCGCCTCCTGCCCCCTCCAGGGCACCCAACAACATGCCCACCCTCGGCAGGGAGACGGCTCAGGACTGGTGGGGGCTCTGCCTCTGGCCTCACAACCAGCCCACGTGGGGTCACCTGGCTGCACTCACGCCAGGGTACTGGGCAGGCACAGAGTTCCTGCACACAGGGGCTGAGCATGGCAGATGCCACTTCTCCCTCACAGGCCCTCCTTGTCCCAGGGATGCAGGCATCTTCTGGCTCCTGACAGACTCCTGGGAGCCAGTCACTGCCGACCCTCCACCCACCGTCCCCATCAGGAGCCGCTGGGGATGCTCACGGGGGCACCCCCAGCACCACTGTGCCTCCCCAGAGGCATGCCGTGCTCGGAGCGCTGACCCACTGGGCCCCAGAGGAGATGGGAGGCTCTTGGGGAAGCTGGTCTGGAATGAGGGCCTTGCTGGCCGGACGGGCGGGTCTGCCTCTCCCTGAGGCGGCCGCAGGGCTCAGCTACATGCCAGGACCATCCTGGCCACGGCTCTCCAAGACCTAAAGGCCCAGGGCCCACAGCTGGGGGCCTTCTTGGCCCTCTAGCCTGGAAACTGTCCAAGCTGTGGGAAGGAAGGAGGGAGGCAGGAGGTACCCCAATGCCAGGATGGGGCGGTTTCCTGCAGCCCGAGGCTAATTACAGTAATCAATTCAGCCTCAGGACACGTCCCTGGCAGCCGCTGCCAAGGAGACAAGTATCTTGATCAGCTGGTCCCCAGCCCCAGATTCCAGGGGCCAGGATGGGAAGGAACCTCAGAGACCTGCAGGGAAATGGGCCTCCTGGAAAGCAAGTATAGGCCAGAACTGCCACCAGGGTGTTGGCCCCAGTGCGCCGGGATGCACAGCAAAATAGCTGTCTACACCCAGCAGCAGCAGAGTCCTCAGCCAGATGTCAGGAGGGACTTCCAGGGAGGAAGGAGACCCAGGGTGGGTGGGAGGTGGTGGGAGGGCTCCAGGGTGGTGGAGATCGGGGCACTCATGCCTCGTGGTGGTCAGCCCACAGCCTCGCCAAGGTGGCAGGAGGCGTGTGTGCAGGTGTGTACGTGTGGTCGACCTGCCCTGCACCGTGGGAGGAGGTGGCTGGGCCTGCTTCCGCCTCTCCCCTCCCACACTGTCCCCACGTCCTGCAGGGACCGCTTCTTTTCTGGAAAAGCTGACAGGCCCCTGCCTGCTCCTTCCTGGTTCCCACCTCACTGCTGGAAGCACACCAGGGAGGCCCCTGCAGTCGGCCGCAGCCCAGACACCTGCCCTCTCTCTGAAGACAAACTCGGGAGACAGCCGAGTCACTCAACCCGCTTTACATGATTTAATGAAATGACCACTTAATGCACAGAAGGGGAGAAAAGGGGTCTCGTATCAGCTGCCAGTTCCCCTAAGACCCTCAGGCTGCTCTAGGACAGAGCTGGGTGAGGCGGCAGGCAGGGGGCAGGTCCCCAACTTGGAGCCCCCCACCCCCCAGCCTACTTCAGGCACGTCTACTACGTGCAGGCACGTGGCAAGCCTCAAGGCAGGAAGAGGCTGTCACCCACCGTACAGACGAGAAGACAGAGGCTCTGGAGCAGCCTGCCTGGCCCAGCCTGAGCACTCCCTTCCACGAGAGGTCTTGGTGCCCCCGCAGAAACCCCCTCTCTCCAGAATAAAGCCCGTTCCACAAAGCTGTGCCTCTCTGGGGCCTGGAGGTCCAGAAGCCCAGCAGAGCCCAAGGTGCACAGCGGCCAACGTGAAACCGAAGCAGGCCCCCCCGTCCGTGACGCTGCTGGAATCTAATTTTGTCCCCTAATAAACTGCTCTGCCTTCAGGACCCACTGCCACTTCCAATCTCTGGGAGTGATGGAGGAACCGGACTGCTGATGGCTGCTCCAGGCGGAAACCAGCCATGAAGAATCACCGCGATCCGCCAGCACCCGCTGCAGCAGGAGGCCACGATCCTCCCAAGACCACCATGCACGCAGGCCCCTCTCCTGGAGCCAAGGCGCAGCCCACCCCGGTCCACCCTCTAGCCCCCGGCCCGTCTGAGCCCACTGATGGGGTGACCAAAGGTCCCTGGTGTGCCCACCTGGCCCAGGCTATATGAGGGGACCCAGGTGAGCACGGGAGGCCGTGCCTGGTGCACAGAAGTGCTCGGTTGGCTCAGACCAGACAGGGAGCCCAGGCCCTGTGGAGGTCCAGCTCCTGGCATTCGAGGCCCCCACGTGCAGCCTGGCCCCCGTTCCCTGTGCTGCCCCTCCCCAGGCCAGCCCACGGCCCCTTCACACCAACCAGCCCTCAGGCCCATCCAGCTCTGCCTCTCCCAATACCCAGGGCGGGGGAGCCCTCAATGCCCCACTGGCCAGTGACCCTCTGAGGCCTTAGCCATGGGCTCTCTCCAGGGCTGTGCATGGCAGGGCTCCTACCCTCCCAAAGCTTTGCCCCCTGACCACTCACCCATCAGAAGCCCCGGCCTCCTCTGGCTGCAGCGGACCTCAGCCCCCACAAAAGGAGCGGGCAGCCGAGTGGAGCCCTAGGGCCTGTGGGAGCTGTGGGCTGGGGAGGGGCTGACCCCGCAGGCCCGCAGAACACCCACTGGCCCAGCATACAGCAAAGGCCACTCCCCCAGGTGCCACCTGCTCGAGCTCAGGGCACAGCAGCTCCACACGAGGTAATTCACCAACCTGTCCCCACACAGACCATGAGGCCAAAGGTTCCCATGCCCTGTCCTCCCCCGGAGCCCACCAGCCGTGCACACGTCCCTGGGCGGTCTGCCCCGTCCCCAGCCTGCACTCCGAACTCTGGGGTCTCCACCTCCCCACCCCAGGCCTATAGAAGGCAGCCCCCTGGCTCACAGCCCCCATCAAGGGGTCCTCCTGGACAGCCCCCTCCCCACCAAGACCTCACCCCAGCCCTCATTCCACTACATCCTGACAGGTCCCATCTCTCCATCAAGGGTCCC